GCCCACCAGACGGCTTCAGTTCTCTATGTGCCTTGGATGTTGGGATGATGAATGGCACGGAGGCTGCTTCAAGCTTTCTCTGGCAGCAGGCAAAACCTGTCTGGTCTGCCAGACACCAGAAATCGATGACAGACGCCATGATGCAAAAATGCAGCCATGCTCTCACTTGGCCCATGTTCAGTAGCAAAAGAAATCCCTCTGCATCCGACATCTGGGTTAAAAACCACCAGTCTGCTTGTATTTGGCACAAATGAAGTTTGTATTTGTAAAATTCAGTGACTGTAGAGATGCCAGGTGTGATAAATATGCAGGTGTGACACAGACTTGCCTGTCCCACTCAGCCACCCCAGTTTGTTTATAGCCTTGTGTGTTTACAGTAAGAACAAACCACAATTACACCTTAGAGACCTCAGCAAACTTTAAAAAAAAAAATCAAACTTTCCATTATTCCTCTGCCAGCATCTCAAAAGTAACACTGTGCCAGTCACAAACTCTGCTGGAACCTACTGGGCTTTGACTGGAAAGTAGGAATGTGTTGCACCCAGTTTCTGGGTGCAGGAGGATCAGGCTCTCAGAGGTCAAATGAAGGAGTCATTCTGGAGGAATGCAGCAAATAAAAGACATACAGAAACGTACACGGGTATGATGGATGACAACACTGTCCAGGAGAAGTAGGCAGCTCCAACACTTCTTCGCAAGAATACGCTGCTATTAACAGCATGGAAACCACCCACCAGTCACAGTTGTTTCAGAATTAGTCATCTATGGTTGGCAACCAAAAGGCCTAAAAAGAAGAAGAAAATGTAAACATGGAGCTATAATATCTTCTAACTTCTGCTATTTGAAATTCCTCACCCAGTGCACTGCATCTGACGAAATGGGTCTTCGCCCACAAAAGCTCATGCCCAAATAAATCGGTCTTTAAGGTGCCATAAGACTCATCGTAGTTTTTGTACAATAGCTTGGCATGCTCAAGCCTAGTAGTCCTCCCATACCTTCGCTCGTCTTCTAAGAACTCTTCTTAAGTTCTTAAAAGCCCCCTAAGAGTGAACTTGAACAAGACGGTAAAAGCCTCCAGTTTTTATGATGATCATGAAACATCAGCCATGTAAAAGTGGTCTGAGAGAGCCCATCTTTGCGTGCTTGCACATGCACTGCTTGTTCTCAGTGTATTCATGTACATTGTTCCTTTCTGTCCCCAATGTATCACCACACTTCCATCCAACTGCCAGGCTATGGGAACACCAGGGAAGGCAGGATGTAAAGGTAGACCAGCTCTTCCTGAGCTTAGGGGAGTGCCTAGCAGAAGATGACTAGCCTCTCCCAGAGTCATCCAGGGCATCCCAGGAAAGGAGAAGCACCAGGGGCGGTGAAGAGGGAAGCATATGCATGGCTGGAGACTCTCCAGGAGGGACTTGTGGGTGGTTTCCACTCCTTTGGCACCAATCAGTAGAATGAGACTAGATCAGGGCAATATCAATTCTGGCCCATTGACCTACTAGAAAGATGTTTGGCCCTCAGGCTGAAAAGTATGTGTTCTTACCATGTTGGAACATGCACTGGCAAAGGTCATGAATTTGGGATTGAATTGCAGACAGGTTATAGGACCTGTGTGTTTCCCATCCAATACAGCCACCTTCATTCCACTCTCCCCATTCCAAACATGGATTTTTCCATCCTCTGAACCTGTGGGTTGGAGAAGAGAGAACACACGTGAAAGGCAACACAAAGGACACCAAAGTCAAAGTATCAATGGCAAACTGTAGCTGA